CACTCATCATCAAAAAAAAAAAAAAAAATTTAGGATCTATCCTGAACTATATTACTGTCAGAGATAGGAAAACAACCATATGCCAAAAACAAAAACCAGCTAAAACTACTATTATTAAAACTTATGCAACAAGCACTAAAGCCAAAGATGAAGAACTTGAAGATTTTTACCAAATTCTGCAGTTTGAAATTGGCCATACATACAATCGAGATGTGTTGATTATTGCTGGTGATTGGAATGTGAAAATCAGATACAAAAAGAAGCATCAGAGGTGGAAAAATATGGCCTTGGTGATAGAAATGCTCCTGGAGGTTGCATGACAGAATTTTGCAAGACCAACGATTTATTCATGCAAAATATCTTTTTCAACAGCCTAAACAGTGGCTATACATACTGACTTTGCCATATGGTTGTTGTTGTTAGGTGTCATTGAGTTGTCTCTGACTCACAGCGACCCTATGCACAGCAGAACGAAATACCACCCAGTCCTGCTCCAGCTCCACAATCCTTGCTGTACTTGAGCTCATCGCCACTGCCAACATGTCAATCCATCACGCTGAGGGCCTTCTCCTCTCTCATCTACCCTCTCCACCTTACCAAGCATGACATCCTTCTCCAGGGAATGGTTCCTTCTGACAACATGACCAAAGTAGGTGAGACAAAGTTTGGCCATTCTCACTTCCAAGGAGCATTCCCGCTGCACTTCCTCCAGGACAAATCTGTTAGTTCTTTTAGCAGTCCGTGGAACTCTCAGCATTCTTCACCAACACCACAGCTCAAAAGCATCAATTTTTCTTCAGTTTTCCTTATTTGTTGTCCAGCTCTCACGTGCATATGAGGTGACTGAAAATACCATAGCTTGTGCCAGGTGCACCTTACTCCTCAAGGAGATATCTTTGCTCTTCAGCATTTGAAAGAGGCCCTTTGCAGCCAGTTTTGCCCAGTGGTATACATCATCTGATATCCTGACTGCTGCTTCCACTGGCATCAATTGTAGAACCAAACAATTTGAAGTCTTTGACGACTTCAATCTTTTCTCCATTTATTGTGATGCTGCTTATACGTCCAGTTGTGAGGATTTTTGTTTTCTTTATGTTGTTGTTGTTGTTAGGTGTCGTTGAGTTGCTTCCGACTCATAGTGACCCCATGCACAGCAGAACGAAACACCACCCAATCCCACGCCAGCTCCATGATCCTTGCTATACTTGAGCCCATTGTCGCAGCCACCCTGTCAATCCATCTCGTCGAAGGCCTTCCTGTCTTTCATCGACCCTCCACCTTATGAAGCATGACATCCTTCTCCAGGGAATGGTCCCCTCTGAAAACATGACCAAAGTAGGTGAGACAAAGTCTGGCCATCCTCGCTTCCAAGGAGCATCTTGGCTGCACTTCCTCCAGGACAGATCTGTTAGTTCTTTTGGCAGTCCATGGTACCCTCAGCATGTTTTGTCAGCACCACAACTCAAAAGCATCAACT